AAAAAAACAAGTTTTGACAGATACTTGACAGATACTTGAAAGACTCAATGACAGCATGATGTATTGAGGTTAGAATTTCATATATTGAATGAATGTTAGGGACCCATCCCTCCTCTCATGAGATTTTTGGACACCGCAAGAGCTAAGAGATTTGTGTTTATTTATTTATTCATTTTTGGTTTGAAAGATTTAGAAAATTTATATAAAAATATTATTAATAACTTAATTCATAATAGAATATTATTAAAGTTTTCATTAAAATATAAGTATTTATCTTAAAATACATCTCGAGTTTCCTTTAAAAAAAAACCCAGACTCTAAATTAAGAAATGACAAGTTCAAAGTCATTTAAAGGGATCTAAATGTCTAAGGCAATTTAGGAGATGACTCCAGGACTGGGACTTGAAATGAGATTTTACAGTCTGGGCCTCTGGGGCAACAAGGAGACAGCATGGGGTTTGTGACAGTAAGGGTTCGTTTGGGAAGGCTTGAAATTTTAGGGATAATTTTAGTACAAAATTCAAAGTTCAAGGACCATTTTTGGGGTTCAGAGACTATTTTAATATTTTAACCTTTTATTTTAACTTTGGGCCTCCATATTTTTGTAGGCAGGAACTTTTAAAAGGCCTTTTCGGCTTTTCTGGGCCGCCGTTGGCAACAACAAAGAAGTAAGAAGAAAAAATATCGAAGCTACTGTGAAGGAGGAAAAGGTTGCGGCGGCGGCGGCGGAGGAGACCGGAAAGGCAAAGGAGGCAGAGAACGTGAAAACTGGGGAAGAAGAGACAGGGAAACCCGAGGAGGAAGAGAAAGGAGAATCTGAGGACGAGGAGGAGAAAGGAGATGATGGTGATGGGTCTGATAACAAGGGGATGATTACTGGTGAGCTTTTCTGTGCTTTGCACGACTGTGATTGAGTATTGGGCAACAAGATTGCAATTTGCATTTGTGTTTCTATACTTGCTTGAATTGCTTCCAATTTTGATAGATTAGGTTGGAATTGAATCTTGGAATTGAATCCAGGTCAAAAGATTTATTTGTTATAGTAATAGCATTTTATGGTATTTTTATCCTTCCCTTCTTTTGGTTGTTTCAAGTTATCTTGATGCTGCCAAGACGATGCATTTTTTGAATACTGCCTATAGGCTCACAATGAGCCCCATGTATGTGTACTGCAATTTTTTGCAATATGAGATAGTCCCTAGTTGAGTTACATGCACTTCAATATGCAATTCTTATGTACTATCTTTATATAAAATCTTGAGTTCATAGTGAAGACAATAATAATAAAAATTTTGTATAAATAATGTAAGTAGGAATTACTTATAAATAAATTCCAAGTGGTGTTAGATATATAAAGGTTAGTTGTATTTTAATTATTAGTCCAAAACAGCTGATAGAAAAAAAGTTATTATTCCAAAACGCATGGAGCAAATAGGGGACATCTTTTTTGATTCAGGGACTATGATTTAACGTTTCACTTCGATACATCCATTATTCTGCCCCCCAATTGCTTGCAATATATCATCTTCCTCATTTTTGCTTTCCTACCTATTGACATGGTCTTAGAAAACTACCAAGCTTGCTACCAAACCCATCACTGCTGCAAGACAAATGCCTGAACCTACACTCCGGGAACCTGAAGGTGCGGGTGACTGAGCATCAGCATCATTCGGTGAAGGTGGTGATTTATGGTTAGACATGGCTGGAGCATCAGCCACTGGAGCATCAGCTGGAGAAGGAGCAGGCACGAGTATCTCATCTGAGTCATCAGCGGTATTGTCATTGGATGAAGGGACCTCAGCTTTCTTAGGTGCAGGGGGTGGTGGCAAGAAAGGTGGTGGTGGAGGAGCAAGAACAACCTCCCCAATTCCAGCAGGCACAATGGGCGTGCTGACATGAAGCACAGAAATGTTGAAAGGTTGAGCAAGCACGGAACCCAACAGCTTAGCAACCAGGGGTGAACCATGCACGGCTGAACCAAACACAACATTGCCTGGACCCAACTTGGTCATGTTCAGAAATCCTTGTTGGTCCTGAGCGACACCAGTGGTCTGGTACAGATTGGTGAGAAGGATACTCCTCTTCCCCAGCTTTTGGATCTTCAGGGTATCATAGTAGTCCAACACAATGTGGGCCATAAGAATCCTCTTGATCTCGTCTTGGGGCCTACCGGAGATGGAGCCTATGGTATCATTGTCAAGGGCAAGGAGGGTGATGGTTTGGCGGTTCTTGACTAGATCATTGATACCAGTCCTGTTGATAAGGTCACTGAAGGTGCCAAAATCAGGGTAATTGCTAAGGATCCTGGTGACGTTTAACGCAGTGGTGATGGTGGATGAGCAAACAAGGAAAATGGCCAGAAAAAGGAAGGAAGATGAGGCTTTGGGATGACCCATCTTCCCTGAATCTCAATTGGGCAAAAAAGGATATACCGAAAGCCTGATTTGCAAGGGGCATGGTGGTGTCTTCTTATACCCAAACTAGAGTTTGCATGTTGTGGTTGGGAGAGAATTTCTCTCCTTAACCATGGAACGACAATTTCATCGTCCAGATTAGTAAAATGTTTTTCCTTAATTAGTGACAAAGACCATGACAAATTCAAACATCCCACTCTCAGGAAACATGTAACAATATAATTTCATTTACGGATTTACCCAAAACAATTGGGCGGGAGGCCCGATAACCAAACTGGATGGGCCCAAGATGATGGGCTCAATTTTTCTCCCTTTGTAGACCCTTTTTTTTTTTGGAGGGTTATGCTCTTATTATATGTTGCAAGTACTTTGCGCACTTCCTTATAACTGAAAGGGTATAGAATTTAAAAAGAAAAGTAAAGAAAAGGATCAAAGAGGGGTGTTGATTCTGTTCTCATTTAAGTAGCTATATATAGGGATTGGGGACCATGGCGAATCAATTTTATCAACTAAATTATATGTTTAATTAAGATGAAGTATAGGCTTTTCCATGGCTATAATAGCCATCTTCATGGAATGAACATTAAAAAAACCACTTTGTCCTGTGCTTTTGGGGACATGAATGCTGCTCTTCCCAAATTTTATTAGGATTCTTCCTTCTTAGAACCCCATTTGTTTCTATTCTTCTTTTTGCAACTGCATAGTTTATCACGGTATGTCGATCATATATGAACTTGAAGACAATTGCATCTGATTACAAACCCAAAATTTGGTAGCTTTAGCTAACTTTTTCTTTTAGGTCATGACATATCGAGTGTTCCTTTTAAATTAAAATAATAATGGGAGTGGAGAGATAGAATCTAAATCCTCTCTATCAATTATATATAGTTTGTCCCTCAATCACTAGATCGAAAACTGTTTTATTTATACTTCACTAAACAATTGGAGATGCATTCCCTAGCCACTCATGGCATCCATAATGAGTGTGGTATAAGCTCTTCCTCACTTCTTTTTTTGAAATTAAAAATAATATAAAATTTATTTGAAAAGGATGTTTAACTCATTATAAATCTCAAGTTAGTTAAGTACAATATCATAATGCATATTCTCTATATTAATGCTTCTTGTATTTAATTTTTGTTTATATATATATTCCATCTTGAGAGAGAATATGGTATCCCCTCTAATTATTTTGCTTATCAAATTGAAAAGAAAGATTGAACCAACTAAAATTAATTGTAATTAATAGTGTTGTATAACTTATTTGTTGACTTAAATGGTTGAGGAGTTATTCAAACCATGTTGAAAATGAAGGTTCGAATTACTCCAACATCATTTGAGTGCAAATAATTTCAATGTGTCACATTCATCGACTTTGAAGGTGAAGCACTACCTTATACTTATGGACAAAACAATTTACATACAAGTACTCTTGAGATTAATTGGGTTAAAGACTTAGATATCGATGTTATCTAAAAATTAGTGGTGTAGTATCCCTATTGTAATGGCTTCCTTTAAGTTCTTTGCAATGATACTTTTGAGGAAGATTATTTGCTATGTTCTTTGTCACAAATAAAAGTTATACCTGATCCAATACTCTTTACTTGCTTTTGAATTATATTCACTCCATCTTGCTTTGTGTAAATAATTAATATATTGGTTAGCACATATGCCACCAACATGTAATTAATGGATTTTTTTTTTTTTTTTGTTCATTAAAGAAGTTAGTATATATGCATATGCTTAATTAGTCGATTGCATGTATTTGAACCGTTAATCTTGAGTTTAAAATTAAGGAAATGGCGGAAAGGGAAATCCAAAAGTTTTTCTTTTGTTTGGGCAAAAACGTTGATGGTTTTGTCCATTTGCAATGGGGAATCACATACTCTATGATGTTGGCTAGCTAAAGTTGAAAACTTTATGCATATGGGAAAAGTGGAGTATACATAGGTTAAGAGCTTCTAGACAATTCAGTGCTTGATTAAACATCCATCTCATGTATAAAAAAAGAAGGTACGAGGGAGGGGAATGACATGTGGAAGTTCGTGTGTATAGGGGAATTTTGGTCCCACTTAAGATTTCCAAAATCATGGATCTTATGATGAGTGTGTTTCATTTGTTAGGACAACACAGTTTCTTTAAAGATGTATATTAGCAAGTCTCTCCAAGGATGTTTGGTTAAGAGCTTGAGCAACCTCGATGGAAGAGTTTTTAAATTCAAAGCTTAAAAACATAGTACAAGGACTTTGAAAAAGAAAATGATTTACCTCTTATTGCATTTTGTTTTTGAACCAAAAAAGAGAGAGATATTATCACAAACCAACAAAAACTTAATCAAATTTGATAATAGGATCATGATGATACAAACATTAACACATATGGAATGAGAAAGTTCGTGGTAGTGATAGATTTGACAATACGGAAAAGAGAAGGAGTGTGTGAAACTTTGCAAAGGGTCCTATTAATTTGGGGAGGACCATGTAGCCCATGTGATGCCATGTGGGTGTTATAGCAATTTTACAATGTAAAACCTATACACACTGAATTAGAAGACTAAATATATATGTGATCAAATATTTATTATTATGGTCCTTCCATTTCATTTATAGTTGGGTACTTAGTCATTTCTCCATTAACCATAACACATTAAAAAACATCTTTCAATTTATTCACAATTATGCAATGTCCTATCAGGACACTTATTGATGTTTGTAATTTTGTTCTTAAATCCATTCGAATCCACTAAAAAAGATGGCTAAGAACAAAAGAAACAAAGAAAAACTCCAACAACAAAGGACTAAAATCCACTTTTTTTTCTTTTATTTAAGGATATAGATTTTCTGTCCAATCATGACTCTAGAGTACCCAACAAAAAAACCCTAGATACCCTTTTCATACCACAAACCCACTGAACATTGAAATGAAATGAAAATATCTCTCATTCTTTTTCACGTGGACAGCTCGTGATGTGAATGCGTTCACAAGAATTCAACAGACAATTTATGATTGACTTTTCAAAATAATTATTAATCCTAAGCAGTCCTTATTATGGAACAGTGTCCCACAAATGTTCTCAATTTCTCAAAATCTAAAGGCTTAGATTCTACTCCATGAGTCCCACATAGGTTTACATGTGCCCTAAATTACACCTTAAAAGCATTCATGTTGTGTCATATTTTAAACCCATTAGTTCCCACAATATGTAGATTCTCTCTACCAAAACCAAATAACATCAACCCTTCTTTTTGAGTATTTTGCCCTGCTTTTCATGTCCCTTCTTTCTCCCCATATATGTATATATATACCCCCTTTCCCTTCTTTACCAAAACCAAACCAAAAACCAAAACCCCTTCAACTGATCTATACATACATATTTTAAAAACCAAGGACTCAACTAAATGTCTGGTGTTTGGGTGTTCAAAAATGGTGTCATCCGACTCATTGAGAATCCACAAGCAGAGTCTGCAGATGGAAGGCATGAAAGTGCTTCGTCCCGAAGGTCAAAGGTTTTGGTGCACTTGCCTACAGGAGAGGTGATATCGTCATATTCGTCCTTGGAGCAGATCTTGAGAGGTTTAGGGTGGGAAAGGTACCATGGAGGGGACCCTAATCTCTTCCAATTCCACAAGCACTCTTCTATTGATCTTATCTCACTCCCAAAAGACTTCTCCAAGTTCAACTCTGTTTACATGTATGATGTTGTCCTTAAGAATCCAAATGTTTTCCACGTTCGGGATATGTGAGCAACTCCTATATAGCTTCCTTCATATGTTATATATATGCTTTCCTTTTCTCTTATGTATCACTTTAATTAGTTTCTTCTTAATTTATAGTGTATATAGTAATTGTATGGATTGATGTTGTTAATTAGAGTTTAATTGTAAGCTAGGTCTTCTATATGTAAAGAAATATATGTATGTTAGTACAAGGTTGTATAACAATAAATGTTTTTGTAAGTTCATGTATAATAATGTTATATATGAAGCTTGACAACAATTTTATTTTTTAGTAAATCTATATTGATTAATTATCTATCACAAAAGATAGTTATTTCATTTTCTCAAATTTATTCTCTCTCATTGCGTACAAGATCACTTAAATCAATCCAAATCTCCTATTGAGAGTGTCAAGTTCTAATCATTGGTTTGTCGATGAGGCTTGGCACCGATTTGGGATTTATGACTCCGTACATGTGATCCCTCCATTTTCTTCATGTGCCTTGTTAGGAGGCAGAGTGAGGCACTGCTCGGCCAGGTTCAAGTATTGTTGCGTTCTCAAGAGTCAAGAGACATGTATGATGTATATATATGCATGGAAGAAAAGGCCAGCTTCCGCAATATTCACAAGGATGATGGTAAGAGACTAACTATTAGCACTTACTAAAGAGAAAATAATCGAAAGATGATGGTAAGAGACTAAATATTAGCACTTATTAAAGAGAATATTATCCAAAAATATTATAAGTTAATTACTAAGACTATACGCTTTTATTTTGTGTTAATAAATATTTTACTTTTTAAATTTATGATAAGAAATTTTTTTATCAAATCCAAGATCTGATGGGAGAAAGCTATTACCCACAAAATCATTTTCTATTAGATATATATATAATTATTTATTTGTTCACAATTTAATGATTTAAAATATATTATATTAATATAAAAGAGAATTTATCTTATATTTGAAATATTGTTTTATTTAATGACTAATTTTGTATAATACGAGAGACTTTCGAAATTCACAAAACATATCTAATGATTTATATATCCAAACATGATGAGAAATGCAGACAAATTTGCAATCAAATGATAGAAAGTATGGCACCAAATGATAGAAAGTATGTCACCGAACCTTTCGAGTCAAGTGGCAATAGTCACCCACGATGCATTCCTCCTCCCCCAGGGTTGGGTTCTAACCCAACCCCTTGTAAAATTTGTTAAAAAAAAAAAATGATAGAAAGTATGGAGAGAGCTTAACTTGGGACGGCATGATTCAACATGGAAAGAGAGGTCCCAACGGAGGGGGAGGAGGTGGGGTGTCACGTGGAGTTTGATGATGACCACATCAGCTACAACGTGTCATGATAGGATGTGCCAAGTCACTTGCTGCTGGCAGTTTCAGGATTGTCTGCACGTGGCTCCAAAAAGTTTTTTTTTTGGTTAAAAAATGATTAAGAGTAATTTTTTATATTATTTTTTAATATAATTTTACATATCAAATAAATAAATAAATAAATAATTTAAATTTTATAATGTAAAATACATTTACGTATTAAATAATATATAAAATTATAAAAAAAAAAAAGTTCTTATATTGCTGTTTTGTTTTTTTATAAGTCCTACAAGACTACAAAGAGTTTGCTTCAAAAAGTAAAGAATTGACACAAACGTGTATGTCTGCCACGCGG